TCCATCCCTCACATCTCCAGGAATTTCCCACCTGGAGTTGGCAACCCTGTCTCCTTCCCAGCCAATCATCAACCTATCTTTATTTTCCCCTCACTCTTCAGCTTTCCACCCCCCACACACCTGCAGCCTCTTCCATGCTCTGAAACCCTGACGTCTACGTCACATTGGCTGTCATGGGGGCCACCTCAGCAGCATATAAGGATACAGAGCCCACCATTTTCTCCAGGGGAACTGATCTCTGCCATCTGGAAAGCAGTTGTAATTCTGAGTGATCTCCCGCCCTCACCTGGAGATTGGACACATTTTACCTCAGAAGAGCAAACTGTTTAGAATGTTAGAGGCAAAAGCCAATCAAGTCGCATATGCAAATGACCTCTGTGTTCCGAGGCAAAGGCGAATCAGGCCACATATGCAAATGACCTTTGTGTTCTGACTGGCTGTGGGGGGGAGAGGAACAGCAAAATGTTTAGAATGTTGGAGGCAGGACTCAGGTAAAGCAGCCAGTGGATAGGGAGACCCTCTGAATGACAGATCAGAGAGCGAACTGATTTTGGAGCGTGTGGAATGTTCCAGAGAAGTGCCACCACCATTCGGCTTTTATTTATAAGGGAGATTAGTAGGTCCTAAGTGTTTTATTGATTGGGTCACTGGTGGCCAGTATATCTAGTAAAGTGTTTTCATTTATGCACCCACACAAAGAGAGCCAGTTTTGCGTTGACTGCAGCAGTTTCCATGCTGTTGGGCTGTATCTCCTGGGACTGAAGCAGCTTGCTTATTACAGGGCATTGGAAACTTTGGGGCATCACAGCAGCTAGCTTTGCTGCAGAGAAATATTAACTGTATAATTTAATTTTCTAGCAATATTTAATTGCTGGAAGGGAGGGGAATGAATATTGAGTCATCAGTTGTTTCTATTTCATTACTTGAATTCCTTATGGACTATGTTTTCTGTATCCAGGAATGTACTTAGTACTTGGGAAAACACAGTAACAATTTCCATGCAAGACTTGTAGGAGTCTTGCACCCCAAAGGAGTCTCTCCCACCCCAAAGACCAGGAAGAACTATTTTTAGTTCTATAACGGCTTTAATTTGCCTTGGGACCTGGGCACATATTGTGATATGCCTCCTCAATGTATGATTTTAGCTGCAAAAAAGTATTTGTGAGGCAGTGAGGGGAAGGAATGTGGATTAGTAGTGGGTATTGTAGCTTCCCCCCCATCCCTGCCATTTTCCAGATCAAAACTGGATCAAAACACAACTGTAGTTTTCATCTACAATCTCTTTTGTGTCTACAGATGTATAAATAATATAATAGTTGCAGGAAAATGCTTATAGGAAAAAGGCATTCTAAATCTTTTTAATTGTTTTATTACAACTTTTTTAAAATCTTTGTGTGTTAGTAATGAATTAAAGAAACTGGGCAGAGAAGCCTATGTTTTCAAAAATGTCTTACTCAGAACTAATAAAAACACAATACTGCTGCAGGAAATCAGTGTCTGAGCTGGGATAACTTTTGGATATACCTACAACATGAAAATCAACATGAAAAACAGCTGCCCCCAAGGAACTTAGCATGTTTCAGTAACCTAGTATAGCTCTATCCTAGGAGCCCCCAACCTGTGGGCACCTTTGGCATTCTGATACAGCATAGTGGGCCCAGCCAGAAAATGGCTCCCACAAAATGGCTGCCCAAGGAAACAGAGCTAGCCAACACAATGGCTGCCTCAGCTTATCTTCAGTCACAGAGTAAAGATTCTTGAGCTGTGGTTGCAACTGCTGCCAAGCCAGTGTTTTTACAAATCTGCACAGTTGATCAAATGTCCAATGGCCAATCAGAAATGTAGATGGGCAAAAGCCCCACCCACTTTCTAAAAACACTAGGTGGGGCATCAGGAAAGGTGTCAGCAGGTGCTATCATGCCC